TGAAACTAACAGCAAAGTGTAGACTTGGCAATTCTAAATTGGATCTTGTAATTACCTTACCCTCCCTTTTGCTGAAACTGTCTACTTTCAATTATGGGCGAAGCTTTGTTAATGGAATCAATTATAATTGGGACACAATGTGAAGCCTATTCGAATTCCAACAATCATTTACAATGGGTTAATTAATTCATTCGTGTTGTGTATGCTAATTATTTATAATTATTTTCGAGACGGGACATCACTGAAAACAATGAAGAAAGGTCGGCGTTCGTTTCATTGCGCCAAGTACATAGCGTTCTGCGTTCATTAGGTAGAGTTAGTCATTAGGAACGCCGTTGGCGGGTCATTAAGGATGCTTATAATGAGCAAGTTTGGTACCTATCCAATGAATGTTCTTAATCGTCACAGCTACAGCGCATAAACTAATAACGTGTAACTAAAAGACTTTGTTGTCTGTCTAGTTGAAACAGGCATGAAATAATATACACCTTTAATGTACTGATTAGAAGAGACCAAGACTGCCTCTTTTTTCTTTTATTCGAATATAAATTGTGATATGTCAATCAATGTAATACCGCATGGACACTTGACGAGTAGATAGTGTTTGAAACACTAGCTGTATTCTGCTCACTGTATCACTGGTAGAGACCAGTGTAATTTAATAAGTACCTACTTCTTATAGTTCTACCTCCTTTAAATCTTCCAACGAGTTTGTTAATCTAGAATATTGCTTTATCTGTGTACCAAAAGTCATTCGAACCCGTCCAGCCCTTTAAGCGTGATTGCATAACAAAGGCTCAAAAATATAAACTTTCACGTTTATAATATAAATAAAACTATATAAAAAAGAAAATATATCATTTTTTAGTTTTGGGTTTTTAGTAAGGAATAAAAAAAATGTAGAACAAGAACTACATTTCAGTGTCTTCACACTTCACTTTACTTTATTTTAAATATAATCTTACCAACCTATATAATATTATTCATATATGTGTATCTAATAATATATTGCTTAATGTGTTATTATAATTATGTGGTTGTTGATTGTCCATTGCGCAGTGTAGGCATACAAAGTGCGGGGGCCGCCGAGACCGACCGACCTAACTTTAATTAAGACATGATAATTAAAATAACAAGCAGCGGGCGTGGCGGCGCATCACTATGCGAGGTCGTGAGGGTGCATACGACACTCTAATCCAATGGCCATGTTTTACTACAATGCGATTTTACTTCACTTCTTAACAACTTAGTGTTTTTTTTGGAAACGTAACTCACATACTTGTATGAGACAATGTTAGTGAAAAATTACAATATGATAAAACCCAAATCATCCATTGCGGGCGTGTAGCTTGTTCTACGATATATTACTTTTGTAGTACCAAAGATAATAGATGGGGTAAAAGAATATGCTAAACTAATTTATTAGGTAAACTTAATGAATTTTTATTTTAACACTATGTAAATTACATACAATACTATAGTTTAATTATATAATCTTATTATATCAGTACCTACATCCTTTTCATTACAGTTTGAGAACCATAGCTCCTAATTAAAAATTCTATCATGTAATTTGGTCACTTGCGAGCCAATATAATTTATTACAATGAAATTAAAACAAAAAATATTTATGCTTAATTAAAAATTAAACAGCGTGTCGCCTAATAAAATGCATCAGACTTTTAAATTCTCTCACATATTTAATTAATTAAAATAAACGTGTTAAAATTCTATTAACGATCGCGTTTTATCGGTGCCTACATAAAAATGACAACGTTTTCATACATTGTAATCATATCAACAATAATGTTATTACAAAAAAAATGTAGTAACTACTGATTAAAATACTGATTATATTAATGCGTGAAGTTATTTTTAAAATATCTTATCCTGACCTAACCCCAAATTTTAATACTTAAAGATATAAACATAGAGACATAAATACATCAGCAAATACTGTAGATCGGTTATATTAGTCAGGGTCAAATTATGCCCGTCCCAAAAACTTTGTTATGGATAGATAAGTAGTTTATTTGATAGTTACCATTACAAAATGTGTACCAATTTATATTTCTCACTCTCTCTCTCACTTTCCTTTAATGATAACACTAATAATACACCAAATTCGAGAGGGAACATTGTATTGACATATACAGCGAAATGTGTGTGGTTCACCACGACACGTCGGCAGTAAACAACAACTCTGCCTACCCCTTCTAAGATAATAATCATGTCAAAGTGGTATATCTACAATTTAGTATACTCATTAGATACTTAAAGGCAATATCGCCTTGTCTCTCTCTAATAACTAAACTGCATTGTATCGCTAATTAAACATTTAATTTTATTTACTGTTTATATTTAAACTTAATTATGAATATGTTTAACATACTTAACTAATGTAATATTAAAACTTGTTTCCTTATTAGATACAGATATATAGAAACTCTTGCGACATAAGTTGCCAACTTAGCACGTATCTTCTGTTAGTTCTTGCCGCTGTAGACATATATAGTTAAGCTCGAACTGGTCAATAATTAGGCAATTATATACAACATTATTCATGTATACCAAACTTGACACGTATCACTTCACGTAAAGATATCATAATGCTGATAACCTCACGTATACTCATATGTATAATATGTTATACACTAGCTGTGTCTGCGATTTCATACTGGTGGTATAATAACAATAGATTGACTTTCTTTTTTATTTAAATTCAATAATATTGTGATCACCAATATTTTGTACCCCCATGATGGATGGAGGATTTTCACATTGAGTGCTTTAGAGAGTAATCATATCTTTAAAGCGATACTGGTATTAGTTATTTAGACATAAACATGAATTGAACATTATTTGGTATAACTACATAGTATAAAACAAAGTGGCTGTCGCTGTCTGTTCGTCTATGTATGCCCAAATCTTTAAAACCACTCAACGGATTTTGAAGCTTTTTTTTAAGAGATAGAGTGATTCGAGAGGGAGGTTTATATGTATAATACATGTATACCCGTGCGAAGCCGGGGCGAGTAGCTAGTAATATTATAAATATGAAAGTAGGGATGTTTGTTACGCTTTCACGCAAAAACTACTGAACCGATCATCATAATTTTTTTTAAAATATATATATAAACCGCGGGTACAATGTACTAATTTATATAATGGTTATCACTTTTTTGAAAATCAATAAACTGATTCAATATACAGTACCAACAATTACTGTTATGCATGAATAATGTAATTACTTAAAAATTTATTTGATTATTACTACAAGATATTGTATAGAAACAATATTTATATTATTTCCTGTTATACCAGATTTGACTTGGGACAACTGCGCTATGCTGTACCGCAGTCTCTAAAAGTGTCTTCTAAGATATACGGCCTATTTTTATTGTGTTACAGTTAGGCACTTTATAGGAAATTCTTTGTAGAACCCCTATTAATATGAGCACATCATGTAAACATATAGTTTATACCTTTGTTAGCATTAACAATGTAATTATATAATCTATTTGTAAATATAAATATTATTCTCATTTTACTAAAACAGTAGATATCTACATATTTACATACCTACTGTGCTCCAATTCAGATAAGTAGGTACCTACATCAATTTAGTGCACTAGTGAAAAATTGTAATTACTTTGTTACCACGTCAATGGAACTGTATGGACAGACAGACACACTTTCCCATTTAACGCAGACTTAGGTATGTTAATTTAACTTACTTACCTACCTACTCTCAGTAACCAACTTTATGAGTTTGAGACAAACTTCTCTAAAGTCAACTCTTAAACACAAATTGTGAAAATGCAATTAATTAACATCAATATAATATAATTATTGTCATATGTAACTTAATCACCCACTCTCACTACTCGAAAACTTGCAACATTTCCTGTTTATTATTAAATCGCGCTAATAAAACTTGAGAGTATATCATTATAATGATATAAATTTATGAGTGCAGCTATTAGAATGACTGGTAAAGATAAATAGTCGTTAAATATTTAATCTAAGGTAATAAATATAAACATTGTAAGACTATTAATATACAGTAGCGCTATTAAGTTTACTGTTTAATAAAATTGAATAAATTGTATATGGTTACGTCATTTACATTGTGCTATTATAAATGTGAAAGTGTGTTTCTGTTTGTTTACTTGGTTGTTTGAGATACCGCCTCAAAAGGCGTGTAAGTACGGCTTGCATTGACAGAGTTTGTTTATCAATTCAAAGTCACTGATAATAATTAGTATTACTTTAAAATAAAAGTGTAGTAGGCACGTATTTGACTACTTGGTACTTGAATTCAAACTTTCTAAAACATAGGAGATTGTATGTAATTACTAATTAAATAAAAACAAGTATTTTTAACCTTATAAATAATTATGCCGTAACTCGCGGCTTTGTTTAGATTAGATAATTTACTATCAAAATTCATGGACATTAAGTACGGGGCTTTAGTTAGTAATTAAATAATCCTAAATATACTTTTAAGAGTACTTAAATTATAATTATCTATGTTAATAAATATAAATGTAGGTATAAAAAGAACGGTTATTTCATTTATTTAAAAATATGTGACGTTATAAATTCCTGAATTAATGAACAAACTACGAATTGCAATATTTCTAAACGTTCAATGTAGTCAGCCTGTGAGTGATTAAAAGAGAGTCATCCAATTTCCTACAGACCTTACCATAAACCTCTAAATGATAATAAACAGTGTCAATATCCCACTATCACTAAACTGGTCTTACTAGGATAATAAATTGAAAATAAATTAATATAAAGTAAGATCCAATATCGTATTCTAAACTGAGTATAGCTTTAATACCATTAATAGATTTACATAAACTTTGCATATATAAAATTGTCGTGAAATTAGGAACAGTAAGTAGGTACTCTATATTAGTGATGCATTAGTACTTCTACTACAAAGTTGCAAATTAAATAAAAACAAAATTAAATTCTGTATACATACATACCTAGTATCGATATTTTCCTTAGGGTACAAAATGCACAAAATAAACGAAACAGACGATATTTCCAAAACAGTAGTCAATTATTCGCACAATAAACAAATTCCACAGTCACGGCAAAGCAAACACTATATTAAAATTTATTCGTCCACACCAATTGTCACTTAGCGGGATTTATCAATTTCCGGATGGTAAAGAGCTGCAGTGATGTTAACTAACGTTTCCGAACAACCACGCTAATGTCCGATTAGTTTCGCAACGGTTAATTAAGTCGCTCTATCGAATACTTTTAATTAAACGCCGAAAAATTACAACGAGCGGCGTTTCGCATTTCGAGTAAAGTTTGAGTCACAAGGAGGCTAAACTAATACGTACACGCGCGAGGAAGTTCCGCGACGGAGTGAGCCGAGTTACGAGTCGAGCAGGTCGAGTAGTGAATGCAAGCGCCCGCCGCCGCCACTGCCGCCGCGCCGCGCCGCCACGGGCCGAGGGCGGCCGCCTGAACACGGGGTGGAATAGAACAGGGATGCCAACTGTACGAGCATCCTCCTACAAATATGCCATCTTTGCCTTTGCTAAAAGGATATTTTCATCCTCATACAGGTTTGTATAGGATTTTGACCTACAAAATCTCTTTTAAATTTTAAGATGTACGAGGTTAGTGACCCAAATTGAGCTTATGTACGTGATTTTATTAGGTTAGTTATTTCTTAGTACGTACCAAAATGTTTTAAAGTTGCCAACCCTAGAATGGAACAACACTCTAATATAATGACGGGGTCGGAACACTTTAATACTCTAATTGAAAAAGTATACTCTGACAACAGCTTTTAAGTGTAATTAAGGTTTCGTCTTCACGCTGGCAATAGCTAAGGTGCATACATACCACATTATGCTAGTAATAATAATAGCTAACCTTTAATAGACCATTATTACATTTATTGCATACAAGCGCGGGTTGCTTGCTTCTCACGGAATAAGATATTTTCGTTTAGGAAAATGAGGCCATATGGGCCTCAGCCTTAAGCTAGACTTCTAGCAATATATCTGTGAAAACATACATGTTTTTTATAATAGGTAAGAATTATAAAAATTGTTGTTTTGTGTCCTGTTGGATTAATAGTCTCTTTTATAATATTTATTATTACTAGCTACTCGCCCCGGGTCTTCGCACGGATGTTACATGTACACCCGTGCGAAGCCGGGGCTTTATTTATATATGAAAACCTTCCTCTTGAATCACTCTATCTATTAAAAAACGTCATCAAAATCCATTGCACAGTTTTAAAGATTTAAGCATACGTAGGAACAGCCAACGACATTGACTTTATTTTATACTATGTAATAATGATGATGTACAGACTTGGGCAAGTTATGCTTTTATTATTAATAACACTTTTTAATATTCAAGCCACATGTACCTATCTAAAAATTCAATAAACCCCCATTGTATATACATATATAAATTATTACGTGGAAATCGATAATAAAAGTAATCGGCAAGAGCGTCACGTCCCGCCGCGCTACATAGGTAAGAAATATCACAAATACTACCTCGCTAGTGGATTCCGGCCTAAATTCAATTCCACCCTTTCCCCCGCACCCGTGCCAGTAGGAAACCAATCTTCTTTACATTCCCTCGCCGACAAATTTATACTCCGCCATACGTCGTGGGTAATAGGAGGTGGCCGTCCGTGAGCGGCGTCGGCATCGACACGAAAGGTGGTCAATGGTCACCTTTCGTGAGTGCTGAGTAAATTATTAATCAGCAGATCGCCATAAGCCGCAAAGAATGGCAAGCATGTGTCCAACGTCTATGTCCAGCTCCTGTAACGTTCACGTCTCTGAGAATTTAATTTCCACGGCCCGCCCGCCCTCGCCGCCATTGTCCGCCCAGTATTTCATTACGGCTCGAGCTTTTCTATTAATAAATCACTCTTCGCCTGCGCCGTTTAATTACGTCCCGGATCTGGCCAACGTCTGATTACACTTTCATCGAACATCTAATTAGGAGTGCAGTCAAACCGGGTGGGAACGTGTGTATTCTTTGTACGAGAGATATTACACTCGGCCTATATTACCATGAGGCACTGCCTCCCTATCCAAGTTTGAAATGAACGAACTTTGATTAAAATCGACCGCTTGCACTGTTAAGTAGAGCATACTGTAAGTACGTGAATTCTATTTAATTACTAAGAAAAATGTTCAGCTATCATAAAATTTATGAAAAAGAAAAATGTTAATAATGGATAAAAGTAGAACTCATAAACAAGATATTAAATTGGAGAAATATTGCATTGCTCTATACTAGGAGCTAGGGACTTTTTAAATTTCCTGACCTGAGAGTGGATACGGTGACGGAAGCGAGCGCGTGCGCGACCGTGGCGGCGGACAGCGAGCCGGGCCGCGGCGCGGGCACCGGCCGGGCCCTCCCGTTTAACTTATTGCCACGGTTAACGAGAATACGCCGTTGTGTGCCGGCGAAATTGAAGGATTTACTCCGCGTCCCTCCTTTATTAAACGTATTGCACACTCGCCTCTTCTACATGTGTGTGTGCCCGACTATACGCAGTATGCCGAAATTACATTTCACATGAGTCGTAATAACAAGGGCGGGCGTAAATCACGAGCATTATTAGTTTCTCTTGTTACCCGTGCCATTTGTCGCTTTATATTTAATCAAAAAATGTTTATTTTGAAGAGATAGAATATAAGGTGAGACGAGCAGAAGTACGTTACATTATGAATATAAACTAGAAATATTTACGTTCTAGTTGTAGGCCTCGTTGTAGAAAAGTTACTAGTAGTACTTAGTGTTAAAGTTACTCTTTTAAAAACAGTAGGATATCAAAGTAAAACATATATAGTCCACAGAGGAAAAGTACAGTTTGTGACAGTGCAGATTGTGACACAGCAAAGGGCGTCCCTTCACACGGTAGCGGTTGCTGACGACAGACCGACGAGAGCACCCGCGTTCTAAGAGCAATATAGCCGGACTTCCTGTAAGCTAAAGCGTATCGCTCAAAGTTTTGCAATATACGCGCACCGAGCCCGTCCTTTATTAAAAACTATTCTCACATTTTTAATTAAAACTTGTGTTCCCCCACTAAAACTTTATTTAAGCAATAAAGGCGGCGCAATTAGCGGCGCTGTCCCCGCCGGCGACTTCACCTACTTTTCCTCTGCTTTAATGAGTGTTTTTTAATAAAGCTGGAGACTGCTGCAAGTTTATTAATTTAGTTTAACTCGTGTCACGGCAGGTCCGGTGCCACCCGCCCTCGCACGCTATAACCGTACTTTTTAATTTAACACCCTGAGCTATTACCTTAATAGGCAACTTACAATGAAAAACCATTAACTACATGTTTATTATTATTACTTTACCTTGATTTATATCGGTGAAAGGAAATAAAATAAGGAATATAAAATATTATAAGTAGGTAAGAAATAAAGAATAACCAGTGAAAACGTGCATCACAGATAAATAAAGTTGTGTCTTCCGAAAATACGCTTGGATATTTTCAGAATTCAGAATCCAAAGTAACGATCGTTGTCGAGCACCAAACTAAAAGCTTGAATGACGTGGTGCCCCCTCGCGCAGTGCACCCCCACCCCGCGAAGTGTTCCGGCCATAATTACATTCCCGTGTCTAACAAATGGAGAATCGGTGTTGATTTGTGTTTAGCCGAGCCCGTGATCCGTACGACCCACACTGCGCATAGGTCCGCCGTTTGGAGACCGCGTTTCCGCGTCCGCTGCCGCTGCGGTCGATGACATGCACTACATTTACTGATTGCTTGGTACCTTCTCAGCCCTCGTAATTTGACAACTCGTTACTTAGATATTAAAAGAAAAACATACCAGGTTAATTTGCTACAAGGTTGTCTATGTAGTACCTCTGTATATCATCAGCCAAGTTGCATGCTTTGTAAGCTGTGTTTCTGTTGTAGCATGCATATTAGACAGTTATATTACACTAGCTTCTCGCACTGGCTTTGCCCGGGTGTACGTCTATTATGCATATAAACCTTCTTCTTGAATCACTCTATATATTAAAAAGAACCGTTCGAAATCCGTTGCGTAGTTTTAAAGATTTAAGCATACATAGGGACGGACAGACAGCGACAGCGACTTTGTTTTATACTTTGTAATGATGATGATTATAAGGCATGACATTTTCGTCTTCTGGAGTGGTAAAGCATGAGTGGTCGACATATAATCATGTGATGTCCGCCCATGTTCATGTAGGCGACGGTTACCTTCAGCTTACCATCAACTGTTGTCTTATCCATTCCATTCATATAAAAAAAACATTACGTATTTGTTTGTATACATAGTTATTGCTGATATGTAAATAAGTTGACAACACTTTGATTTCATAGCAACAACAATGGTTATCAAATGTTTTACTACCCCTGTAAACAGATTTCTGTTTGTACAGTATTATTCTCACACAACTATGACCAGTAACAACAATGTACGCAAAATTTCAGTTTCGAGCCAATGCATACCACAAAGTAACATAGATGTAACATGAGGTTATAATCTATCTGTAAGTGAGGACATAACGCGGAAGTTAAGCTAGTAATTTACGTTATTACTTACTATCAATCCCCACTTATTTACATTATTTACATATGATTACCATATCGTTGTCTAGACACTTTATTATCGTTGCCGTTTAATTAACTTGATGACGTCTACAAATAAACTTACAAAATTAGCATTCTAATTGTACTTAAAGCAATTAAAAATAGTCATACTTACTAAAATTGTATAACTATTATCACTAAATGTATTTTATTCTAAAATTCTTCTACTGGGGGAACAGGCACACCTGCATTTCGTGCAAAGCCAGTAATTGCTCGCATATCGGCTAAGTGAAAAACGAAGCTCGACCGGCCGGCCTAAAAGCTTCGCGGCAGATTGGATCAGCACAGGGATTTTCCATTACGGGCTAGTTCTTTAGATAGGTAGGTACTACAAGTTATCGATGCATGCTTTAAACGTTACATTTCATAGACATGTATAATTTTTTTAGTGCTGCTATTAGGCTAATAGTTAACGTTCTGTCGTGTTTTTATAGTATGTCAATTGTAGCGACATATTTCATATTTCAGACTGTTTTTTGAAAAATTGTCTACTTTATATAAAAATTAATTTAGAACACAAATTTAAAGAAATATTTTTTTCTATTACTATGGCTATGTTGTGTTTCAATGAGCATAATATATTTATGTATGTTAAAAAAATGAATTAAAGTATTTCTATCATATAGTTTCCTTTTAGATAGCACAGAGTGCATATTTTGTGTCCTTACTATGTAGAATAAAAAATAACGTTCATCACAATCTGTCCTCGAGAACCCCCGAAAACAGAAATTCATTTTATCATGTCAGAGTTATCGACAATTTTGTTTTATATAACCGTTGAA